CCCCCTCCCTCCATTTATGTTGCCAATTATGCATTTCAGAAATATGTTGCGTACCTGGATGAATTATTGAGGATCGTGCAAAAAATAGTTGCTTGGATAGGCGATATAAATGGTTTGCTCGATTTACCGCATTTTTTGGCGCTTGTTGATTTGTTCCGTGGTGAACGCCAACGTGCAGAATGTGCTACAGCAGTACTCTCGGCATTCGTTCGCACCAACGAACTTGCATCGTCCGAGGATTTCCAGCTTTTCCAAAAGGTTAATTTTGGTTAAGAAATAAAATTATGCAGCAATAAAACGGACTGGCAGGCACAGCGCACTGTTAAATAGCGACTTTCATGCAGAAAGTGGTGGATTTAATTCTGCCAGTGGATCAGTCGATCCGTTTGCCTCAATGGAGGGACTTCCCCGTTTATGAAGCTGATGCTTAGGTAAAGCGAAAAGCAAATTAAGGTAACCGTTTATTCGTTTCGATGGTAAATTGGTATTGGTTTATGAAAGGATGAGGTTGTCGTCTTACTTTCGGGCAACTCTCAGAAATGGGAGATAACGATAGCCTTATCACCAAATGGTAGCTTGTGACATGCACTAGCAATCGAGCTCCTTCCAAGTACCTCTGTCTTACATGGTGGATGGATTATGGGGAGAGGGTTTATGTGGTAACAAAATCAGTCACTAACAAAACTACATGCCTCATTAATAAATCGCTAATCATAGGCAGATCCAGGGAGGGGCCGGGGACGATGGGTCCTTCCCCAACAGTACAGGTACCAGTGCTTAAAAAATGCGGGTTTAAAGTTAAAACTGAAGAAAACTCTTTTCGGCACCACCCGTCGCCCCTCCCCCGCTCCCGTAGGAGTTTCACTCTCCCCCTTCCCCTCTCCCCTCTTCCCGAGGAGTCCATCCTGGACCCGCTTATGTCAGTAACGTATAGAAAAGTTTGTCGTATGGCAAAAAATGAAGGAAGGAGCATCTGAAAAAGAATGTTTCGGTCCATTAAGTCATATTGTAACATCTGTACTGGATTTTCCAGATTCTTGATATGTGCCATCTGCTTTGCGATTCTTTGACCGCCCTATCAACGGATGAGGAGAAACGGCTTATATCCTACTACATAATCCGCAGTTTGGATCGTTTCGATCTGCACAGTGATCCGGAACGAGCACTTGATTTCTACGTGGATGCACGTGCTTTGCTATCGAACCTGGATGCTGTTGTTGCTGTACGTTTTTTGATCTAATTTTTTTGACTCAAGATTTATTGAGTTTGATTGAAGACTTTGCTAAAGTTTTCGGAGGTTCGCGTTGTTCTTTTCTGGTAAATCTAAGGGCAACTTTACCCGAAAAATTCCTGCACAATTAACTCACGTTAGTTTCGTTGCACAGATATTAGTT